GTTGGGGGAATGGGCACGGGAAAGGTTGTGGAAACACTTGACTGTCAGAATTGGGCCTGGAGTACGGGCTTTAAGTCCCCAAATAACTTCACAACTTGTGCATCTTTCGCCAAGTTAGCCTCGTGCATTTCGTAACAGCTCTCAGATTAGATCCAATTGTGCTATTATCTCTGAGAGTTTGGGTTAAGAACTGCAGGAATGAAAGGTAGCAAGAATAAAATACGGAGCAGTCGGCGGGGAGGAAATCCATGATGCTAATAATAGCTAGCGTTTCTCCTTTTCAAAATGTAATTTCTCAGTGCTAAATATATAACGTATCTCATTTAATGTTCACAAGCGTGAATCACGTGAAAATGTGCTAAATACTATCATGATCCCCACTTCACCAATTAAAAAAAAAAAACAAAAAAAACCCAAAAAACCCTGAGGCTCAGAAAGGTTAAGTAGCTTGCCCAAAGTTGCAAAGCCAGGCGGTGACGCAGGCAGAGAGAAAGCCCAGACTAGTTGACTTCAGTGTGTACATTTTAATTCAGTGCTAAATACCATGTGGAAAAGGACCCTGGGAACCTGGGCTCTTTGGTTCCCATTCTACCACTAGGGATCAGTGGCAGGAGGCAGCTGCCATTGACTGAGACGAGCAAAGCCGTGGACCATGCCCAGGGCAAGCTGCTCTGGGTGGTGAATGAAGAGTTCAGCTGGGGACACGCTGTGGCGGAGGTGGGCGGTGGATATTCACAGGGAGGTGCGGAAATTCAAGCAGACCCGCGGAGAGGAAGCTGGACACTGAGGTCCGACTTCAGGGGTAGATCTTGTCAGCAGGTCACTACATTCAGACACGAGGGACCTGGGGGATTTTCAAAGAAGTGTATTTAGAGAAGACACCCAAGAACAGGACCATGGGGAGTTCTGACAATTGGGTGATAAGATGAGCAAGGACACCAGGAGCAGTGGCCAGGGAGGTGGAGGACCTGGAAACCAAATGAGGAGGATGCTTCAAGAAGGAAGGTGTGGCCTGCCGCACGGATTCAACTGAGATCAGATCCTCTGGGATCAGTGCTGAGACTTTTGGTATTTGGCAGCTGTGAGGAGGGCAGGGGGCAGGCACAGCATCATGGAAGCCTTAACCAAAGCTCGAATGGAGTGTGTTCAAGGGAGAAAAAAAGAGGAGGCAGGAACACTGAGCATGGTTCTTAATATCCATAGCCCGAGCAATGATGATATCATACTATCACTATAAAGATCATTTTTCTTATTAGGTGATATGCTCCTCAAAGAACTAGAAATGTGATTTATCTTTCGTGCTTTGCACAGGGTAGGTGTTTAAATAACAATGGCAGAATTTAACTAAAACTTTAAAAGAAACATTCTCTTTGTCCCACGGTACATGGTAACACTTTATGCATCCCTCACCCGGCCCTTCCTGCACAGACACCTCTGGGGAGGACCATGTGGAAAAGAAGAAGAAACTTAGTGTGTTTTTCTTTTTGTTTTTTTTTTTTAAACCAATAAAGGTCAAGTTTCCATTGCATGATCACTTTGTGCATGTGTGATGAATCTCTTAAATGCTTATCTTAGAACTTGGGTTCAGGAGGGGGAAGAGGGGAAAAACCTCAGCCCTGCCAACACGTTGGTTTGTGTGAATCACAGCTCAGTGGAACCTTTCAGGCATATAATTTATCTTTTCTTTGGCCTGTGCAGTAAAGGCTTCATTTGTTCGTGAATTCTTGCCTTGTTTTAATGATGTGATGCTCTGAATGTAGTTTTATGAGGCACAAAAATAAGATTGTCATTCTGAAAACACAGAAGATTTGTGTGCTTCCCCCCAGAATGAAATAGTGGCATCTCTTTCCCAATTCACAGTCCTGTGGCTTTGTGGCTGGAATTCCAATCCACTGAGGAGCAAGTGTGAAAGTTGGGGGGAGGGTTATGGGAGGGGGAGGGGGACAGCTGATGAGCCCAGAGTATAATTTACCCTAAGAATTCTGAGTCAATACATTGCATCCTGTCTATGCACAGGACATTTTCTGGTGGTGCCCCCACCCAGAAAGCCGTTGACTGTGAAGTTTTATTCTTACTTTCTGAGGGCTGTGTTCTCTCATGGCACTTACAGAACAATTGGTCCCCCCTCTGAATACAGGACTGTGTAGCCAGGGATCTGCTGAGAAACCTTAACAAATCAGAAGCCCATTTTGGGGGTTAAAAATTCTTCAAGACGTGTGCATTTGAAAATCACACAAGTTCCCAGGTTGACGGAGAAATGCCTGTTTCTTCACTTTTTTTCATGTTTTCTGTGTACATCATGCAGGTTGAGCACTGAATACTTCAAATTACCACCAACCCAAGATGGAAATTTGCAGCATATTGTAACAAAATCCGATGCAGATTTCATTGGTAAATTGGAGGGCATTAGCTCACTTATCCATAAAGGAAAGCAGGTTATAATTTTTGGGTATCCTGAGAGATTATTGTAACTTCACAATATCACTCCTGGGTTTGCTGTGCTAGATACCTCCCATGGTTCCAACACAAGCCCCCACCTTTGGGCTCAGATCTCGCCTTGAAATCCATTCCACAAATAGAGTTGCCATCCCTTAGAGGGTGTTTTCAATAAAGGAAGCTGAGATAATAAAGCACAACTCTGAGCCAGGTGTGATGGTGGCACACATCTGTAATCCCAGTAAACTCAGGAGGCTGAGTTGAACTTTCGTAAATTCAAGGTCGGCCTCAGCAACTTAGCATGACCCTGTCTCAAAATAAACTAAAAAGTGTTGGGAGTGTAGTTCCCTGAATTCAATCCCCAGTATTGCAAAGCAAAAAAAAAAAAAAAAAAAAAGAAAACAAAACCCCGGAACTTTTCTTAGACGAAGAGTGAGTTGAAAGGGCTGGAGTTTTATGGTCACATACACATTCAGGATCAGATGCAGAACTGGCTTACTAAGATGGGGATTTGGATGAGTCACCAAGCAACCAGGCAAAGATGGGAAAACAGCCCTTCATTCCTTTTGCAAATAACTCAGTCTTTTCCTGACTCAGGCAATGGATGGGCTTTGATTCCCACACCCCAGAAATACCCGACTACCAAAAAAATGGCAACCTCAGAATAGCTTTGGGAGCCATGGCCAAATGACAACTCCACAGTGCTTCTCTGCTCAGGCAAAGGGAGCAAGCAGTCTCTCCAATGCTCATGAGAACCAAACAGCAGTAGACAACCTCAGACCAGGGCCTCTTAGACTCCTGGGGTGTCTGTCTGATCCACTGCTCCCTGGCTGGGGGTGGGGGGTGGATCCTTCTAAGTCTGGCCACCCTCGGCCAGCACTGCTTCCTCAGCACAGCATGGAGCACCCTGCACAGCACTGAGCACCCTGGACAGCCATCACAGGTTTATTTATTCGTGTTTTCTTACTGGACACTGAACTCCTTGGAGTAAACACCCTAACCCTGTCCACCACAGTAGCTCTGTGCCTCAGGCTGCTCCTGGGCACATCTGAAGACTCACTTTTCATTAATACAAAAGCTATTTAATAGACTCCTTGAACTAGTACAGCTTGGGAAGTGGGCATTTGAAGGGACTTTTCTTTTTTAACTTCTGAAAAAAATTTTGAAAATACTTTCAGTCAAAATTTATAGGTCTGGGCATGGGGGTGCATGCCTGTCACCCCAGGCAGGAGGCTCAGGCAGAAGGATTGCAAGTTTGAGACCAGTCTCAGCAACTAAGGCTCCAAGTAACTTAGAGAGATCCTGTCTCAAAATAAAAAATAAAAAGGGATGGGGATGTGGCTCAGTGGTTAAGTGTCCTGGGTTCAATCCACAATACCACGCCCCTCCCTGCATATTTATAAGGACAGCAAATGCTGCCGGTAAGAGTCTTGACATGTGAGCCTTACTATGTTTTCCTAATTTCAAATATCCAGAATTTTTGGCTGGTGTCTAATAGTCTCAATATGGTGCTTTACAGCACCCAGATGCATTAAAGCCATTGATTAATGTGATATTCATTTTCATTAAGAAAAACAATATATGCACAGTGCTTAGAACACAGCCTTGAATATTATAAGGACTCAAAAGATGAAAGCCAGTATTATTAGCATCTTAGCCGAACATCATTACAGTGTCATTAAGACAAATATATTGACAGTGGTGATATTTAACCATGTCATAAAAACTGAGCCCATCTGATTTTTTTCTTTGTTCTATATTTAACTAGAAGCTCCTACTTTATGCTTACATTTAAAAGAATATGTTATTGAAAATGTCTGTTAACCAAGAAAAGAAGTGCTTCAAAAATACCCTGTATTGACTTCTATTTCCTTCCACATTCAAGGAGTTATTTTCCTGCCCAGAATACAAGCAAACTCTTTCAAGGTTAAATGCTCTCTTTACTGTCAAAAGAGCTTGGCTTTCTTTGCTCAGGATTCAGGATATCACCTTAAAAAAAAAATCTACTTTTTACAAAAGTATTAATTTAGCTTGTTGGAAAGTAACCAATACATAAAGTAGTCTGTGGAGCTGTAAACGACACCTTCCTGCAAGAGATAGTTAAAGATCAATCCAGGTTCTTCTGAGCAAAGCATGAAATGTGTCCCAGCTAATGCCTGAAACCACACCGTATGTCAAACACGCTGCTGAGACCAGGCAGGGGATTTAAGTCTTTTAGGAACCATTTTTATTCCACTAATGCCTTTCTGTCCGGACTCCAGTGATCACAAATGCGACCTGTCTGCCTCGCCTCTGATAAATGGAAGGATGGGTTCATCTGCATGTAACTCACCTTCTCTTTTCTTTTACATAAAACAGATGTCCCGGCTGTTATTGTTCTCCAAACAGATGTTTCTGCCCAAAGAAACAACCCTCTGCTATTTGTCCTAGAGGGGCGCACGGCTTGACCCCTGTCTAGGACGCGGGGTGACTGTAGGGTGATGCATGTGCCCCTGTCTGGGGTCTTGGCCCATCAGGGCCTGCAGCGCACCCTGGGCGTCCCGGGTCCTGGCACGCGCTCTTACCTTCCCTGCAGGGACCGCATCGCCCTGCCCCGGGCCTCCGGGGGCCTCCTCCGCCTGGTCCTCGCTCTCCGCCCTCCTGGCCTCCTCCTGGATGTCAACTGCTGCCTTGTCCCGTCCCTTGTCCAGTTTGAATAATTTGTCAAAAAAGCTGGTGTCCTTGGCGGGGGCCGCCCCTGACTCGGGTGCCCCGGGGGCAGAGAGGGCCTGGTCCGGGGCAGGGGTCCGCCCTGGGGTTTTATCCGCGGCCCTGCCCGGTGCAGCTGCGCCCGGAAGCGCGGGCTCCTCACTCGGGTCTTTGTTCCCCGGAGCGTTATTGGAGCTGACATCAAGCTTCGCGGGTCCGCTGGATGAATCCGTGCCTTGGTCTCCGGTACGTCCTGGTACAGGCCGAGAGAGAGTCAAGAAAAAACGAGATTTAGCAGCTGGTGCCTCGGGTTTGGCCTCTTTCCCAAGATTCTTTCCGTTGGCATCGGCCACAGCGCCCATCTCCATTGTCTTGGGGGAAGAAGTGGTCACATTATCCTCCTGCACGCTTATTCCCAGATCCACTGTAAACACAAACATAAACAGAGGTCATTCAACGAGCCAGGAAATTCCAGGATGAATAATGGACTCCAAACTGTTGATACACAAAGGCACACAAAGGCCGCCATGCAAAGGGGGACCTTGCTTTCTCCAGCTGCTCCGCAAAGCAGAAGTTCGCCATCCAGATGTCCAGTGACCTGCTCTTCCCAGGAGGGGCACGGCAGGTTGGCGGGAGGGCAATCCCTAGGGGCCAGGCACTGCCTGAGTGACACCCAGCCACAGTTGTCTTCTATCTCCACAGGAAGATGGGAGAAGCATTTATCGGACAGTGGTTAGGAGCCTGGATAGATTAAGGAAATAGATTAAGGTCTTTGGAACTCCCCAATGTTAACTTTTGGGATCAATCATTCTTTATTATGGAGATCTCTGGCCTGGTCCTATTGGGTGGATGCCAGTAGCATTCCCTTCTTGTGACCACCAAACATATCTCCAGATTTTGCCCAATGTCCCCCAAGGAGACACTCATGTTTAAGAACCACTGAGTTAGACTCTATTTGAATCCAAGTTATTTATTTTTTCTCTGCTTCAATTTTCTAGCAAAATAAGGCAAATAATAGAACCTGCCTCATAATTTTGTTGGGAAGATTACATGAGTTGATATTGTTAAGGTACAAAGGAGGGGGTCAGTACTATACTAAGTGTTCTAAATGTAGTGAACCTTAGCCAATACCATTACTCAGGAGTGAGAAGCTGATATCCAGAGAGGTTGATCTACCTTCTCAGGGCTTCCCAGCAAGCTGGGAGGTAGCTGAGCCTGGCACAGGTAGAACCCAACTCTTAACTTCATTGCTTTCTCATGTTAGCATGAACGGTTAAAAGTGTTGCAGATTGCTGGGTGCTGTGGTGCATACCTGTGATCCTAGCATCTTGGGATGCTGAGGCAGGAGGATCACGAGTTCAAAGCCAGCCTCAGCAAAGGTGAGGGTCTAAGTAACTCAGCAAGACCCTGTCTTTAAATAAAATATAAAATAGGGCTGGGGAGGTGGTTCAGTGGTCAAGTGCCCCCGAGTTCAATCCCTGGCACTGCCCCCATCACCACCAAGAAAAAGTTTTGCAGATTGATACAAGTAATACTGGCAAAGTTTGCACTTTGAGGACCAGCTAAGCAGATGTCTTCCCAGGAAGGCTAGTTGGACCTCAGACCCCAGTAGAACTAGACCTCTTCTCTGAAGGAGCACTTTCCCAACACCTGCCTGTTTGTGCTTTGCCCTCTGCCTCAACTTAATTGAGCTGCTTTTCCCTTTAAGCAGTGTGTTTTGGGGAAGTGGGAGGATAGCAAGAATTTGGGAATCACCATTAAGGATCTTCTGGACCCTCCCTTGATGAACCATGTGGTCTTGAGCAAGTCTCTAAAATTCTCAGCATTTCCTCATTTGTAAAACGGGAACATTCGTGGCTTCCTCGCAGGCTTGTCATGACTGACGCTGGGGGAACCTCGCACAAAGGACTTGGCACAATGCCTTTACCATGGCGTGCACCTCATAAAGTGACTGCCCCCCTGGTTATTTTTTAAAACTCCTCCCCTGCCCTTGATAACACGGCATCGTGTTTGATACACTTGGTCAGGAGATGCTTCTTAATATGTTGATAGGAAGACAGACGAGGGGAAAGGGAAAGGGAAGGCTCCCTCGCTTATATTGTACCTTAATATATGGCAATCACCTCTCCCTCCCTCCCTCTCCCTCTCCCTCTCCCTCTCCCTCTCCCTCTCCCCCCCCACTCTCTCGTTGGTAATTGTTTTTGCCAAACTCTAGTATCTCATAGTGTCTAAAGTCAGGAGCAAACATACAGGAGAGAGGGAGCTGGATTCTTGCTTAGCACGGCAGCCTCCTCCATCAACACGGAGGGGCAGGGAAGTGGTAGAAGACCAGGCCAGAGGCTGGTGAGTGCTGGGGTTCCTCCTACACCCCGACCTCAAGGCCCCTAGCTCGGCTGCTGGCTCTTCTCTACCTTTTACCTGTGGCCCAGGAATTGGTACTGGAGGTAGGTGCTGCAGGAGAGAGAAGGACAGAGGGAGAAGTGACAGATGGAGCTGGGCACCTGGTGAGCACAGGAGGCAGCTCTGACACATTCAGAGAGGATATAAATGACTTGCGGGCATGGGCCACACCAGGAGCAGAGGAAACAGTTGACAAAAAGGAAGAGGCTCGGGGCAGAACAAGGAAGGGACTTTCAAAATGCCAAGAGCATCAACTGGCTCCTTTCAGTCTGCTTTCTCTGTTCCTCACTCCCTGGCTGGGAACCACAGAACTGGTTGTGAGAGTGTCAATGCTAGAGACATTTCTTTCTATGGAAAAGAAGCCCAACGTCCCATGGATAGACTTTTAAAAAAAGTACCAGAATTTTGCTTTGCTAAAGGGCGAATCCCATGTATATTAGCAGATGTAAACAATAGCTCTTGGTTTTCTTCGATATGAGGAGGCTGATTCATAGTGGGGTAGGAGGGGGAGCATGGGAGGAATAGACGAACTCTAGAGAGGGCAGAGGGGTGGGAGGGGAAGGGAGGGGGCATGGGGTTAGCAATGATGGTGGAATGTGATGGACATCATTATTATCCAAAGTACATGTATGGAGACACGAATTGGTGTGAAATACTTTGTATACAACCAGAGATATGAAAAATTGTGCTGTCTATGTGTAATAAGAATTGTAATGCATTTTGCTGTCATAAATAAATAAATAAATAAAACAATAGCTCTTGGTATCAGAAAATCGGCAAGGTGTTTTCAATGACTTAATAATAACTCAGTGTCCTTAGATGGCACATTCTGTGACTGCTGAAGCTCCAACTCCAACCTTGGGGAGGCACCCCCCGGTTGATCACCTGGGTTCCCATTTTCCTTGCTAAGATGCTCAAGTCCTAGGTGGGCACATGATCTAAGCTTAATTAATAAAAAAAATAAGTCCTGGGTCTTTTGCTAAACCTACCAGAAGAAAATTGTGCCCTTTGTGCTGGGGTTGGCAATCCACCAGGTCATACATCTAGAGGTGGTGCTGGCTTTGGCTACAACATTGGGGTAGTGACCAACAGATGAAGGCAGAGACAGGAAATCCAGAATGTAGACTCCCAATGATATCACTTGGGCATCCAGCTGTGCCTGAAATTGGATTTTAGTGTCACATGAGCCAATATTACCTCCCCGCCTCCTTGTTAGTTTAAATTGAGCACATACTCAGTGATTCAGAGAGAATTTCAGGGAACTGGCCAGTACTTGTTTCTCTTGTTATTTAGTAGGAATCAACTCTCCCCTAAGAGAGTGGTCTCTAAGCTCTTCAAATGTGTCCAAAGAACCAGTGAGCTCTGTGAAGTTGGAGGTACATGAGATGCATTCTCTAACATTTCATCTTAACAAAAAGGGAGAAAATCATAAGGGAAAGAGAGATTACAGTCATCTGAGACCTTGAATATCAACTCTTAAAACAGATAAAATATGTTTTAAAACACACTCACACACACACACACACACACACACACACACACACAACCAATCTGTGTGAATTGAGTTAGGAGAAATGCCATTGGAGTTACAAGTTTTGTCCTCTTGCAAAAATAGGGAATATTTACATGCTTCTCCACATTATCATGGAAGAAGTAGGTTCCTTCTAGAAGACTGGAACTGAGCTTTCAGTTCCTATGAAAAATCTTGGGGGAAACCCATCTTAAATCTGGTTTCGATAAAAAAAATGTTCTTGGAAAGCAGACGAGCAGATGACATAGCAAAGAGATTTTACTTTTCATGGAGGAGAAAAAAAGTCTAAGAAGAAAAAAGGAAATCAAGTAAGAATATTTGCAAATGGCAGCTACCAAATACTTAGAAGGTGAAGCCGAAAAGTTTGACCTCTTTCATGCAGAAGAGGTAGTTTGTACTGTGCATGTGTTCTTTTAAAGGAAGTGATTTTATCTAGATGTGTGATTGGAAACAATCCCAGGAACATCTGCGGGTAACTGTAAAGAACTTAGATTGTGGATCAGAGGGACCCAGTTTTGATTTTCAATCTCTCAGTCACTAATTGGGTGGCTGGGTAAGTTACATGGAATCTTTATGCCTTAGTTTTCTTATTAAATGGACACGAAAGTAACAGAGCCTTCCTCAAAGGCCAATTGTGAGGATTAATCGAATTATTCCCTATAAAGTGCCTGACACATGCTGGTGGGTGGGTGATGTTCAGGAATCAGTAGTTGGTTGTCTTTGTTCTATTTTTATCCTATTGCTATGATTATTATTTTCTATTTCTCAATGTAGGCCAGAAGGGGAGGAATGATTCAAGTGGTTTCACCTGCAAACTCGAGTGCTCTGGAAAGGCTTTTAAGAGCAAGAAGCCAGAAGCTTCTAGAATATCCTCATCATCTGCCAAGCACCAGGTCTTCTTAGTCTAAACAGGGGGCTTCATCAGAGTTCTGAGGGTGCATGCACACCTGCGTTGGTATTGCAGTATTCAGAACATCCAAGGAAGGCTTATCTGCTGTTGCTGCTGTTTTTCAAGTGTCAGAGCTGAAATTTTCACTTGGTGCAACTGCAAAACCACCAGCCCACGTTCTGGGAGTGTTCCAGGAGTCAGGCAGCCGGGAGTATGTGCCATGTGAAAAGGCCATTCATGAAGGCACCTTGACATTGCCACAGGCTGGGTGCTGTGGCACCCCCACTGTACAGGTGGGGAGACTGAGGTCGGAGGAGAGTTCCTAACACTGTCCAACTCATAAGGGGTGGAGTCAGGGTCAGACCCATGTTTGCCCGATTCCAACGTTTCAACTCATAATGACACAGGACAGCAGGAGCAAGAACAGGAAAGGAAGGAGAACGGGAAAGGAGGGGAGAAGATGAAGTGGACAAGGTTGGGTTCATAGCATGGACGGATTTCCAAGAAAAACTTCACACAGATGCGGGGTGGGTGGGTGGGTGGTATACACTCTCATATCTAGGAAACACTGGGATATGATTTTTGTTTTAAACAGAAATTAGGTGGTGTCATTTTCCTGGAAAAAAAAAATACAAAGAAGGCCTCACCCTGACTAAAATCCAGTCCCGACACGACCCTGGGCCCCAGCCCCTAGAACCCCAGGTCACACTGTGCTCTTCCTCACACACTCAGTATACAAACCGTTCCCACCTGAAGCTGTTCATGTGCTACCTGTTCTTTCCAGCTGCGAATGTTTCCCTCCAAGGTCTTCCCATGGCTCCCTCCGAATCGTTCAGGCCCCAAGTCGGTGGAGGCTTCCTTGACCACCTGTCTGAGGGAAGTCCACCTGCTCACCCTCCTTCACTCTCTGGAGTACAGGGAGCATCTGCTGCTCTCTGGATTGATTTCAGAGCACTAGTTCCCCCATGTCTGTGATTTTGATTATCATGGTTTCAGTAACGTGTGGTCAACTGCAGTCCCAAAACATGATTACAGCATAGTGCGATGAGAAAGTAAAATAGTTTGGGAGAGACCACATTGACATAGCTTTTATGATAGTACAGCATACTGTTATTCTTGTTTTATTAGTTATTGTTACTCTCTTACTGTGCCCCGTTACAAATTAAACTTCATCACAGGTATGCATGTATCAGAAACAACCTAGTCTCGATAGGTTTGGTGCTATGGGAGGTTTCAGGCACCCGCTGGTGAAGGAGCAGCTACTGGAATTCCTCTTTTTCTGCTTCCTCCCCACTAGCATGGATGCCCCAAGTGGACAAAGCCTGGGTGCCTCCTGATTACAGCCCAGTTCCTCTGGCAGTGCTTGGCAGTAGGGTGAAGTCAGGTAAGGTGGTGAGGCAGCAAGCAGAGAGCCTAGGGAGTAGGAAGGCACCTGGCCACGGACCACAGTGGTGACAGAGGCAGAAACAGCCACCTTTGTAACCGGATGGCTGCTGGAAACGGATTTCTTTTTGTCTGAGAACTTATTGTCCAAATCCTCCTGGTTCTGAAGGTAAAAGAGGATAGCAGACACTGATAATTTTATTTGCAAAAAAAGGTGTCTACTTAGGAAAAGTATTTCCCAAACGTCCTCTTCTATGCTACGCTGTCCTGTGTGTCACTATACGGATGGATCAGGATAAAGGATCGAGTGGCCCTACAATGCAACACTCACTGCAAGGGGAAATTGTAAATCTTGCAAAAGACACAGGAGTTTGTAGAATCGTGTGAATTCGCATTGGCGAGCTGCTGGGATCAAATACGGAACTGTTGTTGGGCAAGATCTGGCAACGTGAGCGGTCCATCCGAGACCAGGGGAAAGTCAGGATGAGCTCTTCAAAAGAGAATTCTATTTGAATTTGATATTTGAATATCAAAGGATTCTGATAGGCCCTTGGGGAGACTGATGAAGACCTCAAAGGATTTGCAAACTGACCCTTCTGCGGTCAAGAGTCAAATGACACTTGAGACAGCTGTGGCTTTCTGTGTTGTGCAAATGCATCTGCTGTTTTAAGTCTTCAACTCAGGACTCAAGTGGGAGATACTCATCGCTTGGAGGAAGGCGTTAGATTTGAACGTTTCATTGAATGATCACATTTCATGCTTTTCATCTCAGTATTAAAAAGCCAGGTTGTCTTTGCCAAGAAATCCTAGCATAAATAAAAGAAGGGAATTGGTTTGGGGCATGGAGGAAGAATTCCTGACTATCAGCTTGATCCAACATGTCTGGATACTCAGGGACGAAAACGCTGAATCCAAATAGAACGTGAGTGAAAGATAACCACTAACCCACTGTGTCCAGAGAGACCCTCTGAGGGGGCAGATTATCAGCCACTGTGGGGCAAGACTGTGAAAGCAACATGCACGGACCCCACTCTCCTCTTGGCTTGAGCATCAAGCCACTATCATTCATGTGGCTACAGAATCTGGAATGTACAAAGCTAATGCAAAACCAGCCTCTGCTCCAGCACAAGCAGATTCTCAAAGACACAGCAGATGTTTGAGTTGGTCTTGTGGGTTTTCCTTTTAATAATTGGAGGATAATACACATGTAACATGTGCTTACTGCGGGGAAGTGATTCATCTCTCTTAACCTTTTCCTTCCCTGCCTCTACCTTCCGCTCTTCTTTCAATAACAAACATCAGCAACCTGAAGGGCCTCATCAAACTCTGATGTGCATAGATATTCATCTATGGTGGTTGTATTTGTCATTGTGCATTTTTATAAAAATTGGATCATGTTAGAAATATATTCAATTGTTTTTTTTTCACATCATAGTTTCTCCTCATGGCCCACATACCAAATCCATCTTCTTTTTTAAGAGCTGCATAATATTCCTGATCTACCAGAAGACATTTAGATCATTGTCTAATCCATGGATACTCTGTTCTTTACACGGTTCCTTCCATGTTTACCATAAACAGTGCTCCATGTTCATAAATCCTAAACTCGTATTTTCCTCCTATAAACTAGAGGCACAAATGTAGAATTGCTATAGCAATGAGCAGATAATTAAAAGCAAACAAAACCAGCCAGATTACTCTCATGAAAGGGTCCAGAGACTCTCACTTCCAGAGGGTGTGACAGTGTATCTTTCCCCACTGATACAGTATGAAGCACCCTCAGATGGTAAGCAGTTCAGTATTAGAGCCCCCAGCTGCAGACAAAGGCAGGCTTTGATGATGGGGGGGAGCCTGGTGAAGAAGAAGTCATGCACAAGAAGACTGACTCTGAGAACATGAGCCAGGAGACAGAACCAGCAAGGGCTCTGGGGAGAAGGGTGCAGAAGTAGCCATAACAGGATGGCCTTGCTCTCCCACAGAAAAAGGACAGTCAATGGACACATAGAAAGGGGCCTAGCAGTGTCAGAGAAAACCACGACAGAGTGCCAGGTCACACCCACGGGGCCGGGCCAAACCAAACAGGCAGACAGCCACCTGGAGAACCGCACCTCCACACAGTGCCCGTGGGAACGTGAAGGGCACAGTTGTTCTGGTCCTCAGAAAGTCAAACGCAGAGGCACCGCGGGAGCCAGCATTTCCACTCTTAGGCACAGCCCAGAGAATGAAGACGCATGCTCATGGAAAACGGTGCCCGAATGTTCAGCGTAGAATTACTCACGACAGCTCATGGAAACCACCCCCATCTCCATCCCCTTATGAAAGAGTAAGCAAAAGGAGGCCCGTTGAATAGAGGAGTATTTACCCATCAAGGGCGTGAAGCACTGGCACAGGCTGCCACGTGGATGAATCTCCCAAGCGCTGCCCTCGGTATGAGAAGCCAGACAGGCTGAGTAAGCAAGGGCATGTGGCGGGAGGCTGGGGGCGTCGGAGCTGGAGTCCGTGGTGCAGAGTGTACACTGTGCCTACGCCCCACTGCATCTCATGGCATGAAACAATGTCCCACTAATGAAAAGAAAAGAAGTAACAGGAAAGATTTCCAGAAAAGACGGAGGGGATCCAAAGCAGAGGGAAGGATCAGTTGACTCGTCTCCTGTTTTTCGAGGTGGGCTTGCAGCAGCGGCCGCTCTTAGTAATCTCTCATCCAGGGGTCTCCAGGCCATGTGGGCCTTGCATCCTAGACTGAGAACAATAGCCATGGGGACATCTCCATATTCTGGTGTGTAACCTCTTGCTTGAAAATTCAGAAATTTGAACGGTTTACGTTGCTTGGAGCAATGCACTCCCCCCGCCCCCAGGCCATTTTAAAAAGGCTGACACATGAGCCCTGCAGGCAGCTTATTGGTATAGGATGAGACCAGACCACGGTGCTATGAGGTGAACGGCCCCTGGAAGTGTCCACCACCGTCCCTCTCCGTGGAAACATTGATGGGGAGCACACACAATGGGTAGGATGCCCAGTGAGCCCAGCAACCAAACCAGCCCACTTGGAGTTGGCTCTGGGACTTCAGGGCTTAGTTCCTTGCAGATGGGAATGATATTTTTTTTAAAGCTGTCTTTGTTGACAGGTATAAAGTAGGAGGAGGATCAAGACAACACAAGAGGTGGCCAACTATGAGATCTGCTTACGTCCCAGCACCATGTGTGGCCAGCACAGTGTGGAGGTTTCTCAGAATTGGGGAATTTCAAGTCAACTCTTAAAATCAGGCTGTCACTGAAAAGCCTCATTATCTGTGAAGGGATTCCCACAGAGAGCTGCCCCTGGAGCCAAGTGGAGACAGGGAGCATCTCTGGTTCCCTGCAACCTCCACGATGCGATGCGCAGAGGTAAGCCCTCCTTGCTGCTCTTCACTACCCGTGAGAGCAACGGAATCTCCTGGGGATTCCAGGAAATAGAGCCATCCAAAGCCCTGGAATATCTGATACCCTTTGCTAAGTTCTGTGTCCACTACAACAAAAGGTTGCAAGCACTGCTTTTATTTGAGTTGTGGAAACAGTTTTGTGTGTATGTTTTTTTTTTTTTTTTTTTTTTTTTTTTTAAAAGAGCAGCCAGGCATGTGGCACACGCCTGTAATCCCAGTTACTAGGGAGGCTGCAGCAGGAGGACACCGAGTCCAAGACGAGCATCTTCAGCATCGAGAGGCTCCATCTCAACAACAGCAAGGACAGGAGACCAATTAGGGGAAATAGCAGGTACCGAGAGAGCACATATATTTGTACCCATCCAGGCCAGGGACGCTGCCCCCTAGTTTTCTCTATCTAGGTGGCTATGATTTATGACGTTGGTCTCCCAAGACACTTTGCTCAAATGATAATTGCGTCTATTCTCCCTCCCTGCTTATTAGATCATAAGCAGGAGCACTTTGCTCAAGTAAGAATTTTCAATTAAAAAATCTCCATATATGTACGTATGTATGTATATATATATATGTGTATATGCACATATTTATGTATATTTATGTAATCTTTAAAAGCAAATTTAGGGGGTTCTTTTCAGAAACAATTGACTGTGAACAAAAGGGAAGAATTTAATTTAGAGGCTCCTTATCCAAGTGAAACAGAGACATTCTTCTGCTTCTGAAAAACGATGTGTCCTGGCAGATAAATGGCATGTTCGTCCCTGCCATCCATTAGCAATGAGGACCGGGCATTTTTTTTTTTTTTTAAAGAGGGGACTAATGTGATGGGCTTGCTAGAAAAGAACCAGAGAAAGAGAAAACGGAGGTATTTTCATTTCCTTAAAGATCTGTGAAGTTTTAGGCATCAATGCTCTGGTGGGGAATCTGGCTGGTGATAAGCTGGGACGTCGGAGCAGAGGGCGGACTGCTTGCAGTGGCCCTGACTCCTTTATGTCGTCACCATGGCCCTGTGCAGCTGCTGTCCTCAGAGCACCCTTATAAGGTCAACGTCATGATTCCCATTTCCAGATGGCTCTCGATGGTATGAACACCTTGCCGGGGTTACATAGGTAGTGGGTGGCAGAGCCAGGACCTGTGCCCGGGTCTGGGAGACTCCAGGGCTTCCGTGTGCTGCTGTATCAAACCACCACAGATGTTGTGCCGTACAGATAAGTTACCCCACACTTCTGAAGGTCATGAGTAAGAGATGCGTCAGCTTCTAGAAACTCAAGGCAAAAGCCTGCCTCCTGTCTTTCTCAGCCTCCGAGGCCACCTGCGTTCCCCGGCCTGGCGTCCCCTCCTTCACCTTCAAGGCCAGCACTGCAGCATCTTGAAGTCCCTGTGTGACATTTGCTCCTTTACTACACCTTCTCCTACTATGTCCCTCCTGCTTCTCTCCTTGTAAGACCCCATTGAGGACATTGGGCCCCACCAGGTAACCCAGGTTCATCCCCATCTCAAGATCCTTAATCCCTTCTGCAAAGTCCGATTTTACTATGTAAGGTGACACAGTCACAGGTTCTGCAGCTCAGATGTGGTCATCTGGGAGGAGGAGCGGCATTGCTGTAGGTTCCTCCCTTACCCATCACATTCTGAGGCCTCATAAATAAGAAATTATACAAATAAACTGTGTTTCCTAGTGCACGTACTCAGCCGGGGGCTGGTGATCCCAAGGGGGCCAAAACTGGCTCTGCAGGGAGGATGGAGGGTTGTATTCTTCCTGTGTGCAGAGCGCAGGTGCCGGGCGCGCAGGTACACGGCACCTGTGCGCCCCTCAGTGTGGCCCGCCGGGTTCTCTGGGCTCTCAAGGCTACAGGCCTCCTGTGAGGGTCACAGTCCTTCCCATCTGGTCCCCTCTGCCCTGCTGCCCACGTCTCAGGTCCTCCTGAGGGAGAAGGTGACTCCAGTTCTCTCAATTGGCCATTTTTTTTTTTTGTTACTGAAAACGTTGGCTTTATCTGCTCACTCAGAGTTGGATTTGATACTAATCCTTGCCATTCTGTTCTTTGGGGGGGTGCATGGCAACTTTTGTAAAAACATAAGTTGGAAAACAATTATCTTCCGGAAGGTTAAAGCCTGTTGGGGCATTTCCTCCCTGGAATATCCAGGCTTTAGTCTTTATCTCTTCCTTTTAGCTTTAGGTAAGTAGCTGTCATCTCAGACAGGGCCAGAAAATGATTGCTGAATGTCACTGGGGGCTGTGGCATCTCCTGGCTCATGGCTTTCTAAATGGAACACTGTGTTCTCTTTGTAGGATGATTAATCGGGTCTGGCCTGGAGGAGCGGGAAGGGATGGCATATTTCGTGGCTTCTAACTCTGGGATTTCTGGGCCCTCAGAGGTTTTGCTTTTCCTTCGGAGTTCCCAGAGTCTGCATGTGAGCACACACGGGGAGCCTGGCCGTTAGGGCAGCAGGGGGAGGCGGGTCCCCTCCAAGATGGTCTGAGGGACCGAGATGCAATAGCTTCTCGTGTCATATGTGTGAAATGACAGGTTCCATGTCACTGCATTTGGAGTGGGGATCCTGACCGAGGGCTTCTGATCCAAAGTCAAACCCCTCTGCTGCCTGATCTACTGTAATCCTGGTCTCTCCCGGCTTTCAGTCACATCTCAGAAGAGATGAGGATGGTTCTGGGTTGAATTGTACCCGCCCCCCCCCAAAAAAGATATGGCAGTCCTAACCCTGTGAAAGTGACCATATTTGGAAACAGCATCTTTGCAGATGGTCAAGTTAAGATCAGGCCACGAAGGTGGGTCCTAGTCCAATGACTCTTATTAAAAAGACACAGAGACAGAAGTGTTCAAAGGGAGGGAGGGTGCGGTGAAGGTGCAGGGAGATGTATCCACCAGCCCAGGGGACAGGACTGGGACAGCCCCCCCACCCCGCCCTTGGAAGGAGCCCATCCTGCCAGTGCCTCAGTTCCAACTTCTGGCCTGTGCACAGTGAGACAATACTTTTCTGGTGTTTAAGCTGCACAGTGTGTGGTAATTTGTTATAGCAGCTCTAGGAAACGAATTTGGGTGAACTTTCCAAGGAGGCCTATGGCTTCCCTCTTCCACTTTGTTTGCTGTGAACAGGAATGAGATGGACCAGAGAGCAGCAGCCTGCCCAGCATGGTACTGACCTTCATCGTAGAGCTGAACAGTGTGGGTGGATATGATCACTGGCATCCCATTCTGATCACACGTGCTGTCGGATGCCTGAAACACAACAGGTGTCTGTTACTGGGCAGGTCTTCAGGGAAAATTGGAAGAACTCCGGGAATAGCCTGAAGATCACTTCCCAGAATTAAATTTCATTTTCAGGCTGTTTCTGGTCACTCCTGAGCTTTCTATCATGCCTCAGAGTAATGAAATAACCTCTCCAGGGCCTGGATTCCCCCATCACATGCACTCTCTGGTTTATGCCTGTCTTAGTGAGTGTCACAGTCAGGCAGGCACCTGCCCTGGGGCACTGAGGCTCACCGGCACTTACCTAACCAGGATGGAGCAAGAATTTAACATGCTGATTCCCAAACCTGGGGGTTAGCTCACTCCACCACCTGACACACACCAACACAACCATCAGCCAGGATGCTGGTCAACAAGCCTGTCAGATACAGGAGGTGCAGTGTGGTGTGCGCGCGCGCGTGTGTGTGTGTGTGTGTGTGTGTGTGTTTTATGTGCTCTTCTTCATACTCCCTCTCTTTATCTTCATTGTTGTAAACACTTTATAATTTCAGGGCACTGCCCTGATTATTTTCCTCTTCTGTTACTTAGTATAGATACTTTCAAAGATTATCAAGACACATATACACACAAACGTTCATACTCACATGGGAAGAAAAACAGTTGCACAAGAGTATGTCATATAATGCCATTTTGTGATCCAATAATCTAATTGTACTCCTAATCATTAATATCAATCGAATCTTAATTATGTTAAGTATTTAACATACTGTCTTGTTTTGATACTACTATTAATAGTAAGACCATATACTAATAAATGCAGAAGGTAAAAAACTAAAGGCCAGCTCCTAAAGGTGGGACTCTCCTCCTAAGGAGGGAGGAGAGAGAAGGCTTCCCTTTGTGTTTTGTAATGGTCAAAATTGTTTAAAATAAGTCTGTGTTCTCAAACCTATCAACACCACACCAAGAAAACATCAGATCACATGGCTCAGACGATGCTACCAGCTCTCCTGGGGATCAATATTTATATAAATTTGATGTATTGAGTAAATAGACTATCTTAAGTATTTCAGAATCAATTGCCTTTTTAAAAAAAATCGGGGGTTGGAGATGTGACTCAAGCGGTAGCGCGCTCGCCTGGCATGTGTGGGGCACTAGGTTCCATCCTCAGCACCACATAAAAGTAAAATAAAGATGTTGTGTCCACCAAAAACTGAAAAATAAATATTAAAAAATTCTCTCTTTCTCTCTCTTAAAAAAATATCGGCAGATTTCATTAACACTGTTCACTAATTCCTAATGAACAACAAGAATCTGAGAATGCCAGCCATCCTGGGGAGTGCGTTGGCGGGGGCTATGGCCCTCCTGGTGGTGCGAGTTGGCTGGGCCCACCGATGGGCTGCTGGCCTCCAGTTCTCTGCCCGCATTGCCTGGCTCCTGGAGGCCTGAGGTAAGCAGGCTTATCTGGACTTGGAACCATCTGGGGAGCTTGGGAAACCTGCAGTGCCCACCCCACGACCAGAGATTATGATTTTAGGAGGTCTCAGGTGGGGCCTGGCATCGGGAGTTCCAGAGCATCCCAGGTCACGCTGATATACACGCAGGTTGAGGCCCACGCTGAAGCATTCTCCTTCCCAGGCTTTCTTCAAACCCAGTCTTCTGTTCTGAGTAGGAAGCCCCTCTCCTCTGTGATCAACTTGCACGCATAGGTGTTTTTCCTGTCGGGATTTCCTCATTTAGCAAGGCTTCCAGTGTTAGGCAGAATTGATATAAAAATACTGATGGTAGAAATTTAGTCCGTTTGCTTCTGGAAATAGAAGGTCCAAGGAGAAGCAATGAGTGTCCTTGGCCTTTGCTCTTGAGAGCAGAATGGGAGAGGGACCCCTTGTTAGCATGACTGTACACTCCAACAGCAGGGAGCTTTGAAAACCCCCAGCCTGCCCAGCTCCCCCACAGTTTCTGGCTGAACTGGTGTAGAGGGCAACACAGGCATCGCAAGACAGTGGTGAGATCTGGAACCACAGATGCAAACCTGGGTTCTCATCCTCAGCCCTGTGCACATGTTGGGGCAGATGATGGTTTGCTATGGAGCGGGACCACCTGTGTATTACAGCATGTGCAGCAGCAGCCCTGTCTCTGTGCCTTAGACATCAGAAACACCCCTCCTGGGATGTGACTATCAAAAATATCCCCAGACATTGATAGGTGTCCCTGCAAGGATCGGCTGACAAGATGCTACAGTTGAGAGCCCATCTGGGAGTAGATGACGAACTGGCTTCCTAGGGACCAACCACCTGTGTTCCAGAGGCACCCATTTCTGCAATTTCTGATTGAGTCTGAAGAAGAGCCCCAGAACCTGCATTTTTAACCTGCTCCTTGCTGGACCCCAAAGGTCTGAGAAGCCAAACAGCAATGAGGACAGGAGTTCTTCTTTAGCATGGCTGTGACGGGCACTGGGCAGCCACGGCTGCTTCTGTCTGTGACCACTACCAGTAGCCAGTTCCCCGTGTCCGCAATGGCCCTACCTTATAAGCCTCCGTTTCTGGTTCTTTCTCTTGGTCTTCAACTCTTTGTGGAACGCTCATTTGGTTACCCATTGTTCCTGCATTAGACAAAGAAAGAGACCGGGGGAGAGAAAGGAATTAAACCCAAGCCAAACCAAAGTCTTCAACTGACCCTTGCAGCCAAGGAGCAGACCCCCGACGGTGGCTCACGGATGTTATCACAGGCCCAGGTTAGAACAGGTGCTTATATTCACTTTGGGGGATGAAGGGGGCAGATTTTGGATCCTCACACACATCATTCAAATGCGGTTTTCAGTAGCATTTCATTGCTGGGGAAAAATATTTATCAATGTGAAGAGGTATTGAGGGCAAAAGATGTTTTCTTCAAACACTTTTAGTGGGATTCCCAGCTATTCTATCAAGGAGACCTTAGAATAAGAGTAATTGGAATTTACTTTCTTCTAATCCTCACTCAATTAATCCCATTAAAGCCTCTCATAGGGCTGGCATCTCTTTTTCACATTACATGACAGAGGACAGGGAGGCAGCGTGGGTAGGAGGGTTCTGGATGATCACTGACGTGGTCACTGTCCCAGACTTGGAGTGCCCGCAGGCCAGGGCTGAGTCTGCCTTCTCCAGCATTTTACCTCCTCTTTCTAGTAGTGTGTCTGCATTTATTAGGAGCTTAGGGGTTATGTGTGAGTTGACTGGAGGGAAGAACCATTGGTAACTGTCTCCTGTGTCAGACCCTGACTCAGGTAATGCCACGCCATCTCTTCTCTCAGAGCCTTGGTGTGTCATAGTGATGATGTGACCCATTGGCCTGATAGGGGCTCCAACCACGGTTTCCAGGCACTTGGCCCACAAGGGCTCATTCCTCCCTGCAGTGCCCCTGAGCTCTGGCAGGCAGACGGACAAGCACATAGAAAATGAGGCCAATAAATACCTGCAAAACAGGTATTACTGCCATCTCATTCTTGACATGAGGAAGTTGAAGCCCAAGGAGGTTAAAATGCTTCCCACAGTTAATGGGGTAGAGGCAAGAGATGGGCACTGTCTGCTCCAGAATGTTCTGCATATTATTACCTCCCCTTAGAAAGAAGGGAATCGAGGCTCCAAAGCTCACTAAGAACACAGCCACAGCATGGCACTGGTGGTGGTGGGGCTGGATGCGGAGTATGTCTGATCCTAGAACTAGGGCCCTTTCCCCCACTCCAAAGACCTGCTGTCTCACTACCCCACATTCTTTTTCCAGTTAGCCCCTCTCCAAAGTTGGGCCACTGGTTCATGTGCTCCAGTGGCTTTCAGAATAAAAACGAGGAATTTTGGTTTCTGGTTGACAGCAGTCAATGTGTCTACAAGGACTCCTGTGGGCTTCTCGCCCTGGATGTGAGTTTTTAATTCCCGGTAAAAGATACGAAGAGAAATCAGAAAAAATTAGGGAGGCTAAGAAAGGGCCATGGCTCCCAACACCTGCTCCTTCAGGGGAATTTGGTACATAATCACATCTGGGGACTTTGTTTGTCTTCTAATCACACGGTGTCACAAAGCTGAGCACTATTGAAACCCACAGCACACTTGTTATTCTGCAACATTTCCCATTTGTAAATTTCATGATGTGCATGCTTACAATGGGCCATCACTTCCATCTATACATGGGACATTAGGAATATAATGCAAGACCCTCAAGTCCAGGTCAGTAAACAACAGCTGTGGCCAAATTCAGCTCATGGCCTGTTCCAGTACCGCCCGTGAGCTAAGGATGGGCTTCATATTTATAAACAGTGGAAAGAGTTCAGATAAAGAATCATGAGGTGTGATCCATGAGCATCATATGAAGGTCAAATTTCAGCATCCCTGGTTGGAGTTTCATTGGAAGACAGCCCTGCCCATTTACTGATGCATTGTCTAGAATGCTTTTATGCTACAATGCCCGAGTCGAGTTGTGACAGAAAACATGGTCTCTACAGCTTAAGATAGTTACTATTGGGCCCTCTCCAAAAAGGTCACTGACCCCGCTCAGGATCGACCTTGGGGAATGAGGCATCTGAGAGATTAAGCGCTGCCCCTGGTAAGACTGGCCAGGATTGCAACGTACCGTACCCAAAATAACGACACAAAAACTCTAGCAAGCACAGTCATGATAAAGCAATAATAGTAACATCATTTGGTTAGAGCGCTCCATGTGTCAAGACGAGGTTCTTAGAGCTTCACTTGTTGTGAAGCTAATTTACTCCTTGTAACACATCAGCAAGGCAGTGGAATTATCATTCTAGATTTTCAGACGAGGAAAATGAGGCATATAGGTTAAATGTTTTGGCCAAGGTCATACATAAACAGGTGCATATGTATATACACATGCAAGAATATATTTACTCACCCAATTTCTCCATCTACATTTAGCTTTTAACAGGTTTAACATTATTTAATGATGGGCCTACAAACATTATAAGTATTCATTTGAATTTGATCCTTTTGGGGAGCTACTTTCAATAAGTGCTTAAGGTTATGATGTATCTGGGGCTGGGAGGTGGGACATATCTGCAGGCAGAAGAGAACTTCTCCCCCCCACGGAGCTGGGGTTACATGATCCTGATCACTGTGCTTTTGAAGTGGCCTCTTGGCAGCTTCAGGGCCAAGGGGACTGAAAGGAGAATCCAGCCACACATCTTCTGCAGGGATCACCTGGAATCAGGTAACACCCCTTCTCACCAGCTGTTAGAACTTGTGAAACTGCTCCTGCCTGACCTTCAGTTTGTGAAGAGCAGGATTTATATGGGACAAAAGCAGAAGGCTGCTGCTGCCACCTACTGGCGGATACATGAATTTACCCCACCTGCAGGCTAGGTCAGAGGGAGTGGGTGGGAAAGGTTTGATGATTGGCAGTCACTCCTCTGCTAACCCTTGGCAAGAGGACTGCAAGTCCTCCGATGCCCAAAAGTTCTTTAATAAAACAATAATGATCACCACAGCTGAGGGACATGAGGAGCCCCACCACGGGCCAGCCCTGTGTCCACCGCCCTGGATATAGCACAGCGTGATTCAAAAATAGGGATCTGGGCTCTGGCGTTTGGGACCCCTGCTGACCACATGATGAAGGAGTGATGTGGGTGAGTTTCTGAGCCTCCCTGGGCCTCACTTTCCTCCTCTGTAAAATGGGATAGTAATAGGCCTCATCTCAAGGGGTTGTTATAATAATTAAGCCAGTTAATATACACAAGCTGCCCCAAACAGGGCCTGTAAGTGCTGGCCATGAATAGCATTATCGTTGTTATTATCACTGCTGTTCATGGCCAGTTTGCCCCGAAGTTCCCTGATAGAACCCACTGAGGAATCTGGCAGCACCTCTGATTCCCAAGACCCTCTCACCCAAGTCATTTTGGGGTCCTGGAAGCTGTACTTGTAGCAATTGCTGCAGTGATTCTTGTTATCAGTTACCTATAGAAAATTCTAGAATGGTGACTGTATTCGAGGTTGTCCCAGGAAGGAGGACCTTCTGGGATTGCAGGACTTTCATATTAGAACCTCAAAGTCCTGGGAAACCAGAATGACTTGGGGAGCACATGAGCCGCTCAGGACTCTGAGGCAGGGACCCTCTATGCCTGTAACTAGATGCGAGGCAGCTCAGACAGTGATCCTATCTGTGATGAAGTTCTCTCCAGTCATCCCCAACATGAGAAAAATCAACCAGATAGGGAGTGTTTCCAGATGAACTGATTCATTCAGAAGAGCTGGCTTTGTTTTGAAGGGGGGGGAGAGTAAATTAAGAATGTAGGTGTGGTGTTTAAACACCCTTTCTTCACGAAGCATTGATACTCCTTGTTTTGCTTTTACAGCCTGATTCGACATTAAGCCCTGTAAGCTGCCTGAGGGCAGGGTTTTGATTTTGAAACTGGATCCATGTTTGAGGCCCCACCACTTTGCAAGTGTGGGTTGAGGCTACTGCTGGGGTTCAGGGGAAAAAGCCTCTTTGCTTCCCCTTCCTGCCTCAGGTCTTGGGACCGGTCCTCAGATTGGGCAGTGCATAGAATCCCCTGCAGGTGGCATTTTGAGGCCTCTGTGCCCAGGCCTCAGCCAGGCTGAGTGCAGGGATTCTTAGCTGGGGTTCCACACCATGAGCTTCAAGCTTTCCAGTTGGGTGTCTGGGGTTGACCACCGCTGCTGTGAACATGTTGGGGGTGAGCAGGCAAGCATCCTCCTGGGCTAGAGCTCTTTCCTGAATGCTGCCTACCCTGACACAGAGAGCCAGGCTCAGGGATCCTCAAGTGGAATAATGACCTTGGCCTTCAAGGGCAATAAATTGTGGCTGGCCTGGGCTTCTTCAAACATCCACTACCTTCTAGCGTACTGTGTTGCTAACTACTGTCTTGTCAGCCTATAAACCCAGAGAAACATCCTGCCTCCGCTTTCCTCCACCCAGGGTGTGTGTGTGTGTGTGTGTGTGTGTGTGTGTGTGTGTGTGTGTGGTTATGCCTGCTGCTAAGCCTCTTCCCTTCCAGCTGGAGGTGCAGAAGTGAGGACAGGCCCTGTGAAAGGAAGTGAGGCTGCCTGAGTCCAGCAGCTGTGCTCTGCTCCTTCACCAGGAGAGAATGAATGCAGTGAGACAGGCCTCTCTAATGTCCCCAGATCATGAGCTCTAGCAGGGCACCTGATCCTTCTGACCACATCTTCCTTGTGGAAAATGGCAGTGACAGTAGTAGCACGTGTGGACTTTTCTGTGTGCATGCAGTTCCGATTGCCAGGTTTGGCTTCTCTTGGTTTTCTAGGTAACCTTCTGGGTTACTTTATTTTACCAATTTTCTGATGCAAAACTGAGGCAGGAAAGGTTTCAGTACTTAGTGTGCTGTCCTCAGACATCATGATATTTTAGGGAGGGTTAGGTGAGGCAGGCATGTGCCTAACCCCCAAGCATTTGGAGGTAGAGCCTATAACCAATCAATCAAGGTTAAATGAAGTTATAAGGGTGGGGCCCCCCTCCAACAGGATTAGAGTCCCTAGGAGATGAGACACCAAAAGACTCTCTTTCACTTACTCTTCGACATGGGAATGCGTAGCTAGAAGATAGCTATCCCGAGTCAGGAAGGGGCCTCTGTCC